GAAGTCCCTATAGATCCATTTTGGGAAGATTTGTTGGGTTTTGAGGGGCAGAAGTATCCATTGGAACCCTTAAAATATCTTACTGTCTAGAAAAGGGAAATATCAACCTCAGTTTTGAAACGTGAGTTAGTGTTTCCTTAAGTCCATGCAAGGCTCATTGTACCCATCTTGCTGCTTAAACCCACCTGCAATTTTTTTTAAAAAAAAACAGCACAAGAGAAAAGAGTGCTAAACACACATGGAGTTAAAATAGGTGAGGGGGGGGAAGGCATACTTTTCATCTTGATTTATAGCTCTGTTAAGCTTGTAAAAGGTGAAGATCAGCAAAGGGGAGAGTTGGCAGATCTGCTGGGCAGGTTTTACAAGTAACAGGTTTAAAATCAGGCCTCGGGGCACATTCTTGGACATGTGACTTGAAGTGACCTGGGAGGTTTCAACAGTAAACTTGCCTTTCTGAAGAACTTGGGAATTGACCCTTCTTGTGTAATCCTGGATTTACAAGATGTAAGAGACCAGAGAGTTGCAAAATATAACTTCATTGCACTATATAGGCTTATTGAATATATTAGCAGCACTCCATCTGATGCATGTGTTGCAGACTGAAACCAGACAGCTGGAACAAACACTGATCTGTAGTACCTGTGGAATATTTTTCTCTTTTTCTTCAGGGACTCTTGTGTATTTTGTTAATCCAGTGAAAATTCAAGCCACATGCTGAGTCACCCTCTCCTCCAAAAAAAAAGTCAAGATGCGATTCCTCTGTGTTGAAACCCCAATTAGTTGAATATGCTTTTCTTTCCTGACAAGCTGGCAGGGAAATAAAATTCCTGTAATGCTCTTCCACCTAAAATGAGAGTGAAACTGCAATTTTTCAACAGTGCCAAAGCAAATCCCACGCATCTAAATATCATGGGATAAAAAGTTGACCCTTGGATCTTCTATCCCACGGGTGTCAAACCCGATCGCGTCACGTGACATATCATGATGTATTGCAACGTTTTTTGCCTTTCCGGAGCCGGGGTGGGCGTGGCCTGCACGTGATGCATTCAGCCCGTGGACCGCCAGTTTGACACTCCTGTTCTATCCATTTCATGATTACTGTTAAGTATTTGAGCAATCCCACATGCTTCCTGACTCTTCCCTTCCCATTTATTTTCCTTTACTAGGCCACTGAAATCCCAGAGAGCGGCTACGGGGACCGTGAAAGTGCCTTCAACGAATCAGATCTCTTTCCAGATGAAGACACCATGACCCTGGCCCAGCAGGAAGTCCACCATGAGTCTGATATGGACAGTGCCATTGAAAGTAACCACAGTTCAGAAGCATCAGTTGTGTGCAAGGTTGAGAAGGATAGTGTGTTGAATGGCCTCTTCCTGCCTGGAGATAAGTGAGTTCAAATATTGTTGGGAAAGCTTTTTTTTATGCTTTTAAAATGCCTTCAGCTGTAGGCCAGGTTCATCCTTGTAATAGGTATTGATGGATGCATTGCTTCCTCATCATTGGCTACCAATGGCAGCACAGCTGATGAAAATGTCTCTCAGTTACAGCATATATAAAGGGGGAAGGAAAGAGAGAGAGAGAGACCCATCAATTTGCTAACTTCAAGTTTCCAATTTTTGCTAACCTTTTGCCTTTCTCTTGAGAGGATCATTCTTCTTGGCCTTTGTTCTCAGCTTCTTGAATGAGGAATCAAAGCCTTTGTAGGAGTCATCAAAGGGCTAGTCCAAATAATTTGTGGATAGTGTTCTGCCTGTGATTTAACAGAGAAACTGAGATAAATATAGAAGGAACTCTGCTAGGCTAACATGCAGGACAGAACCAACAGTGGCTAGGTAATTGGAACCACAACATAGTTGTACAGTTAGATACTGCAGATTGGCAGAAGCACTGCAATATAATTGGATAACTTCCTGCTTTTCAGATGCCTGCAGTCCTTCAGCTACCCTGCTTGTGTCTTCTTGACCCAGTGCCCTTGGCAAACATGCTGATGGTTGCTATTTCTACTGATTTCTTGAAAAATCTATCCTTCTACAGTAAGGTGTCAAACTGCCGGCCCACGGGCTGAATGCATCACATGGAAGCCGCGCCCATCCCAGCTCCGGCAATGGGCAAAAAAAATCCCAATATGTCGCCACATGTCACATGATGCGGCGAGTTTGACACCCCTGCTCCACAGCAGCGTTTCTCAATTGTGCCAACTTTAAGATGGGTGGACTTCAAGCTTAAGTCAGTTTACATGGAGATATTCTTCAACAACCTTTGCCTCACCCACTTATCCTAATTTAAATCCTACAATACTCTAACTCAGTGATTCCCCATTGCCAGTTCAGGAGTTTGGGAGTTGAAGTTCATCCATCTTAAAGTTGCCAAGGTTGAGAAACATTGCTCTAGAGTCTTCTCAGTTAAAAAAATATCAAAATAATTACATACTGGATTTTGTACACTGAGCTCTGTGGTTCTGGGGCCTTTCACCAGTTGTAAGGCCTAGGTCAGTGGTGTCAAACTGCCGGTCCACAGGCCGGATGCGTCATGCTGAAACCGCGCCCATCCCATTGCCGGCAATGGCAAAAAAATCACGACACGTCACGACACGTCACGTGGCATTGCGAGTTTGACATCCCTGGCCTAGGTATTCATAGAGGCCTCACAGAACAGAAGTGAAAATATGTGATCTGTGACTTATTCTTAATGATCATTAGGACTCTAGTTTCAATATATTAGAACGGAGGAGGTGAGTGGAAAGAGAGAGCAATTTGCAGGAACTGGACCAAACCCGTTTGGTCCAGTTCCTGCAAATCAGTTGCTAATTGCAAAATATCCCAAATTATTCATTTCTTTTGCTCTGTCTTGCATTCTTCTTGCCATTATTCTTCAGCCTTTCCTCGTGTCATGTAATAAGGTGCAGCACTAAAGCAACCCTGGCTGATTCTGCAGTGAAAAATGGTACTAGGAGACTGAATAGTGTTCACTTGGAATCATTCTTCCGATGTGTGTGTGTGTGTGTGTGTGTGTGTGTGTGTGTGTGTGTGTGTGTGTGGAAGGGGGTTGCATAGCACACTGGCTGCAAGTAGAAAAAGGCAGCATTAAGTAAAGGTGGTGCAAGAGGAAAAGCAATTAGTTGGGACAGCAGTAGGAATTAGGGGAAGAGGGATTGACTCTCTGTCAGAGGGCAGACAGAGAGCTCAAGTCTTGAAATCAGAGTTCCCAATGGGTAAAACAATTTAGTACTTCAAAGTTGGTTATTTAATTTTTATCACACCTTTTTAATATTTTTATAAATAACTCGAGGTGGCAAACATACCTAATACTCCTTCCTCTGATTTTCCCCACAACAGCCCCATGAGGTCATTGAGTAACTGGCCCAAAGTCACTCATCTGGCTTTCATGCCTAAGGCAGGATTAGAACTCCTGGTTTCTAGCCTGGCAGGTTAAATATTCTAGGAATTCTTTCTTCGCTGCACTATTCTTAACTACTGGACCAATCTGGTTCTATGGCAGCAAAATAATGGGTCCAGGAATTGAGGTAACCCGTGGTTCTTGTACAAATACTCATCTGTGTATGTATAACAGATGTTATTGCACTGGTACTTGTACTACACCAGTATGTACAAAATAATGTTACTAATATTGGTCCTAATTGCCTAACGCTCCTGGTTCTGTCAGCATAGTAGCAGAAGACCCTTTGTGTGAGTATCCAAGAGCTATATTGATTTGCCCCACAAAGCCAGTGCAAAGCAACTCAAATCTTCTTTGACAGAGCTATGGAGGTGACCTGATTTGGTTCATTGAATCAGAAAGGCCACCCAGTTCATCTTGTTGAAGCAATTTGGAAAGCTTTGAACTGCATCTGATCAAAGCTGCAGGAGACAGTTCCCATCACTCTTGTTTCCCAGCACTGGTTAAAATGTTTCTAAAGTGACAGCTGCCCAAGCAAAGCCATCTGGATTGGACAAGGTCCTAGACAGTTTCTGTTGCACATCTTCCTTGCTTGTGCTCTGCTGCCATCACTAAGCCTCTTTTCTGTTTGAAAATGATTTAAGTCTACAGTAACATAAAGGAGGTAGATGATGAGAAAGATTTGCTTGACATTCCTTATTGATTAGACACTACAGTATTATTATAGCAAACTAGGTTCTTAAAGCAATTAAAGGTTAAATATATCCAGTGCTTTTTTTGTAAAAAAAAAAAAAAAAAAAAGGTGCCGGAACTCACACACGTCATACAACCCGCCTTGCCTACCCTACAAGGTTCCATCCAAAAAAGGTGCCGGAACTCCGTTCTGGGCGTTCTATGACAAAAAAAGCCCTGAATATATCAATATTTTGTTACATTCTCCAAATCTGCAATCTTTTCATCTATGAAGAACGTTAAACATATGCAGCTTTGGACTGTTGCCTCAAATGTGATCATATACCAAGTGGAAGGATGCTTGTATCCTGGACTCTTGAGTGTTGGCTTAATGAAACTGTTTCCGTTTTCAGTATTTGAATTGGCTTTATCCTGAAGAGAGGAACAAGACCAGACAATACAATTCAAAATGTATTGAGTCTGTTCAAAATAGAGTCAAAAATTTGGAGAAAAGACAAAGGAATGTATTTAATTTAATAGTCTTATAGATGTATTCATTAAATGAGGGTACACACATACACACACACAAATGTTAGCTATAATATAGGGATTTTTAGAACTTTTAATTTGCTTAATTGCTTATAGTTCTTTTTTATTTTCCCATTTTCTAGAGATTTTTTTCCCCTAGGTACTTTATTATGGCATTTCTACCTTTTTTCTTTCTCTTCCCTCTTCCCTCTTCCCTATATTATTTTATATATTTATAGTATATAATTGTTAATATAATAGTGTAGTTATATTATCATTTAGTTCATAAATAGTGCCACAAACTGCTATAGGCTTTTCTTAAGAAAACATAATTGTGATTTTGAAGTCTGATCCTTTATAAAGGATCTATATCCCATCAATCTTATCCTATCCCAGAACTAAATTTATTCCTGGCTGTTTTTGGGGGGGAGGGGCATGGTTTCTCAAGTCAGACTTTGAATTTCCTCAGACTTGTCTTCTACTTGTACTTCCCAAATCCCACTCATCAGTTCTCTTCTTCTGCCCTCCTTTGACTGGCAAATCCTCTGTCCCCATCATTACAAGGCATAAATGCTGAAGCCACCAAAACCCGAGAAGGCAGAGAAACAAAAATTAGAGGGTGGGGTTTTGCAGAATCACTCAGTTTTGAGATTCCTTAGGTCAGGGGTAGGCAACCTTGGCTCTTTTATGACTCGTGGACTTCAACTCCCAGTACTCCTGAGCCAGCATGACTCAGCTTGGAAACCTCTCCCTTTCCCCTCAGCATGGCTGGCTCAGGAATTCTGGGAGTTGAAGTCCACAAGTCATAAAAGAGCCAAGGTTGCCTACCCCTGCCTTAGGTAGTACTGCAGAGAAAACTCTTTTTGGTCTCCTTCTCTAGCCTGAGCTCTGCAGAAGAAGGCTGAGATGGGCTCTGAAGCAGATAAAAGCAACTGCAATGTGATCACTTTATTTCAACCTTAGAAGTAAAGGGATCAGCTTTGCTTTGAAGCACCTCTGAAGTGTTGTTGAAGCAAAGCACGGTTTGGTAGCTTTCAAAACCCTGGATAGGTAGCTCTCAGGTTAAGAAGATTAACTACCAATAAATGAGCCAACTTAAAGAAGATGAGGGTCTTTTAACATTAGAGCTTGGAAAATGCATAGACACCTCAAACCATCTGTTGAGGGCTTTGTTCCATTTCTAAGTCACCCTTCCATCAATTTGGCCAGGGCATCATAGGTACTTTTCTTCCAGCTCCACAACTTTCCTGAACTCAGCTAATTAGTCTCCATAAGTGTCACATCTAAATAAGAATATGAATCTAGCTCTTTCAAGACCTAGTTCAATGTGCAAACTGCGGAGTCTACTATCTTATATAAATATGTATTGTATAAACCTTTCCTTGCATTTCTTTATCATTTAAAAGAATCCAGTAGTATTTGGTAGCTGGATCATTTAGGTATGTTAGGGTCAAAAGCTGAATCGGTCTAAAGTGAATTACATATTAAGAGTCTATCTTCTCCTTCCTCCAACAAGAAAAATTGCTGGGGTATCTCTGTGTGCGTGAGAAGTATATTTGTATTCTGGCACTTGTGCATTTGCTGAACAGTTCATTGTGGGGCAAGTCACCCCCCACACACCAAAGGTTGCCTACCCCAGTCTAGAACTCATTCTATAAGAATGATGTGAGCTTCCCCTTGAAGGTGGAGACAACTGCTAAGGAAAAAGTGAAGCACTTGTGGGAAGAAGAAAGAGATATTGGCAGGGAAGAATAAATTTCAGCAAGTTCCAGGAACTCATAAGTACAGTATGTAGTACCGTATTTTCCGGCGTATAAGACGACTTTCTAAACCCTGAAAATCTTCTCAAAAGTCGGGGGTCGTCTTATACACCCAGTCGTCTTATACGCTGGAAAATATGGGTATTCTATTTTATTCCTTTACACATGTGGTTTGGCATATTACTCATCAAGTTTTTTCTCCCCCCCCCCTCTCTCTCTCGCTCAAACTCTATATTTTAACTGGAAAAGTTGGGGGTCGTCTTATACGCCCAGTCGTTTTATACGCCGGAAAATACGGTATATGAATCTCAATGTGGTATATATTAGGAATGTGTATTTGTAATTATACAGTTCTTAAATGAGCTTAAATATTCAGTCAATGGCAAGCTACTTCTGTATTGTTGCCAAAATAATTACATGGATGTGTCTATAAAGGCACCGAAAGGAGACTATATATTTATGGTATAAAAATTGTTTATAACAATGTCACTCTGCATTAGACAAGTGACCCAAAAAATAGGGAGGAGGAAAGAGTTTTATGTGTCTCCTTCTTTTTGAGTTCAAGAACTGGATTGTCTTATGTTTTAGCTTGCTGTTTTAACATTTCTCTGCCAGCTTGAGCCTATTTTCTCAAAGTGATATCCTTCAATTTTTGGAAGTATTTTGTGTTTTGAAGATGGAAAGCTTATTGTTAGGATTGTGTCATGAAGTTTCCTTTCTTTTTCTCCCAAGATCAAATTTGCTGAATCCTGCATCTTCTGATCTTTCCACCTATTCCACTGCCTCTCTGATCAGTAACGAAGAACAGTTTGAAGACTATGGAGAAGGAGTTGATGTAGACTTTACCCCCAGCAGTCCTTGTCTTGATGATGAAAGCAGGACACATGCATATTCTGACCTTGGCTCATCTGTTTCTTCCAGGTTGGCTACTTTAATATATGCTATGCCTCACTTTAGGTTGGAGGTGGAGAAAGGACTGTCTTAGGGAGATAACCATGACTGAGTTGCTTTGCTGTTCATGAATACTAGCTCCACCTTTTGCCTCTGCCTCCTTTGGGCAGAAACCTTGCAAGTATCTTTCTCAAATCCTAAGACAGTGAATCGGAGATGCAGCATTTATTATTATTATTATTATTATTATTATTATTATTGTTGTTGTTGTTGTTGTTGTTGTTGTTGTTTTGTTGTTGTTGTTGTTGTTGTTGTTGTTGTTATTTGATGATGACAAGCAGCGGCATAACAAAGTAGCAACAATGGTGCATTGGAAGATCTGCAAGAAATATCATTTGCCTGCAAGCAAGAACTGATGGGATCATAAAATAGAGAAAGTCATAGAAAATTGCTCTGGGACTTCAGAATTCAAGCAGACAAGCACCTGCAACATAACACCCCAGACTTAACAATTGTCGATAAGAAAGACAAAAAAGTCTGGATAGTGGACGTGGCAGTGCCTGGAGACAGCAGAATAGACGAGAAAGAACTGGAGAAGATAACAAAATACAAAGACCTACAAATAGAAACAGAAAGACTGTGGCAAAGGCAAGCAAGGATAGTACCAATAGTAATAGGCACCTTGGGTGCAATCCCAAAACAACTGGAGCACCACTTGTACACCATTGGCATTGACAAATTCGCCATTAGTCAATGGCAAAAGGTGGCCTTACTAGGAACTGCTTCCATCCTGCGACAATATCTGTAATAACATCAAACATCCACATCTGCCTATCCCAGGTCCTTGGTAAGGACTTCATAGGTAGACAAAAATGCCAAATCCAGTCTGAACATCTGGCTGACTGCGCGATGATTAATGATAATGATGATGATGATGATAATAACAACAACAACAACAATAAGATGATGATGATGATGATGATGATGATGATGATGATGATGATGATGATGATATAATAAAAATTCTTGCAGGTTGGCATAGAAAATACTTTCGTATGTGTGATTTTTAATGTCAGAACTGAAAAACATTAATGGAAAATCTGAATAGCAAGATAATTCAGTATGGAATCTTTAGTCTTGTTAAAGTATTGGAAATTGCTATTGCTTATATGGATTGGAAATATCTACAGTATTTTTTCCCCATGTTCACAAGATAAATTGGACTAACAATATATGGATAGTCAGAGCAGGAGTTAGCCACCTCAGGTCTTGCGAGCATAGGAGACTCCTAGGCTCCCCGGGGAGAGAATATGCAACTATAACTCCCCCTTTTACTCCAGCTGCCCTCAATTGGTGCTGGGTGAGGAAAGTGCCCAACACCAGATCTTTCTCATTATTAGGGGCTGGGGGAGGAGTTTGTCTGAGGATCAGAACAGTCTTTCTCAATCATGACAGCCTTAAGATATTGGACTTCAACTCCCAGAATTCTGGAAATTAAAGTCCACATGTCTTGAAGTTGCCAAGGTTAAGAAACACTGATCTAGAAAGCTCTACTTATGCCTGTGAGTAGAACTGATATTGAGAAAAACAGTGGAAAGTTAAATCCATTCTTCTTTTCCTTCCATCTGGAGGACAAATTAGTTTTCACATTTTTTTTCTTCCCAGTTTTCCTCTTGAGAGAGAATTGATATAGTAAAGGAAGTGGGTTGTTCCCAGAGGCTGGCTGGCTTGATAATCTTCCTTAATGGAATATGGCTGAAAATATCACAACTATTAATTCGGAAGTCCACTTTTTTATAATAATAATAATAATAATAATAATAACAACAACAACAACAACAATAACAACTGTTTAATTAATAGTCAATGCTTGAGGGGAGATGTTTTGGTTGTAAGTCTTCCCTTTGGCTTAAAAAAAGTGGAATGTATATAGAGTATTTAGCATTGACCTATCAGGAGCATTCTGAGAGTAAGGAAATGCCTGTAAATCTTTGAATAATGGGATTTAAAAAAACAACTACTGTATTTATGGCCATAAGGAGCAGTACAGAGTTCATGTGAAAATAAAACAAAATAACAAGAATCTAGCCTGGATCTCGTAATGTCTGTAGGATCTAATTTAGTAACTCACTGTCTTTCCACTAACAGTGCTGGTCAAACCCCACGGAAAATGAGGCATATCTATAACAGTGAGCTCTTAGATGTCTACTGCACCCAGTGCTGCAAGAAAATCAACCTCCTTAATGATTTGGAAGCCAGGCTGAAAAACCTAAAAGCCAACAGGTGAGTAAGCCCAATGGAGTTTCACTGAGAATCTGCTGAAAAGCATGTTGGGTATGCAGCAAGAAGGGAACTAAAGAAAGAAAAATTAAGAGACTTTTTAGTGGAATGTTTTGCTAAATTTCTAGGGGGTTCGGGGATGGCCAAGGGGGGCATGGGGGAGGCCTCTCTGAGGCCAAGGCCAGACCTGTCTGAGGGACGCGGTATTAGAACGGTGAGGGAGGAGGCCGGGGGGTTAAGGGAGGGTGGTGTGATTAGTACGGTCAGTGGGAGGGGCAGATATGGTGGGAGCAGAGGACCATATCGGGTTTTGGGAGCACGCAC